AAAAAAAAAAAAAAAAAAAAAAAAAGTTTGCAGACTCTGTTTTAAGGATAGAGATGCCTAATCCAAAGTTTCTACTTAATTTCAGAAATTTTATTTGTTGTCAATCAGCACAGCCACTGTATCAACATAAACATTTCTATGAGATACAGGCCTAGCCTTTCAGTTCAACATTAGCGCCACCACACACCAATATTTTGCTCAGCTAGGATAAAGTTAAACCAGTTTAAGAACATTTGTTGAAGTTTAATATTATCCACACTTGAACTGTATCACTGTAAATAAATCAGCACCAGTTTTGGGTTTAGACAACAGCTCTCCAACAGCATTGCCACTGTACAGCCCAGAGAAGGAAAAGGGCTCATCTTCAGCGTAACATTTATATCAAGTTACTTCACTCAGACTAACCTTGAGAGAACACGCTAAGAAACAACATTTCAGCTACATGGAGTGATTTGATTATGAACAGAGAGTGATTAGATTAGCAGCAGATGACTTGGAAGTCAAGCTGCTGCATCCTCACTGAATTACTAGCTCCAGGAGCAGCAGCACTTCCCCTCCCACCCAACCCTCCACACAAGGCAGGCAGTTCAGGCTTTAAGCATCTCTTTAAGCTGCTTTGGAGACCAAGTAAACAAAAGACAAAATTTAAATCTTGCCTCCTATTGTACCAAAACCAATCTGCTATCATACAACATCAATAGTTTGTCTATCAGGGTTAAAATGAATATTAAAAGCATTTCACAGGTCACAACATTTCATAAATGAAGCGGCTATAAAAGGAAAGCTGACATCTAGCTTACCAGGAGGCCGCGTGATCCAAGAGACAGCAGCTCTGAGAGAGACTGTTTTCTCAGTTCTAGTTATCAGCAACCAGGGCAGAAAAACAAACAAACCCAAACCCAAAACACGCTTTAAACAAGTGGACATAACCATGCGGACACAAGAGTAAGACTGTATTCCAACACAGCTGAAGTGATACAATCTGAGAAGCAAACTGCCTTCAGCCAGGGCACAGAAAGTTAAGTGACACAGTTGCTACTCTGCAGCTCAGCATCCTAATGATCAGCTTTAGCCTGCTGCAGGGTTCAGCTGGTGAGTACCAACTCATTAAACCAAAGGAACTTGCAACCATCTGCACAGCCCCTTGGTTTAATTTTTTGAAAATCAATTTTGTTCTGTGAATTTAGCTAACAAACTGAAAACACTTTTAAACTAACCCAAAAGAGACTTCTTAAGAAAGCTGTATAGACAGTCCCTAAATTGATGGAGGCTCAGGAAAAAAACCAGAGGGCCATGATACCTGCTCATTCAAAAGGACTGTAATACAAAGCCTGTTTCTGTAGAGAGGTTTTGGCTGTGTTCAAATTGTTGATAATACTGTTCAAGGAAATTCTGCAACAAACTTTTTTTTTTCCTAAATAAAACAAGGTACAAGTAAGTCCATCTTTATGAGCACCACCTAGAGCATAACCTCTACCTCTCCATAGTAGTATCTGAGTTAATCCATAATATGCTCATTCTGCTGAGCCTACCTACACCCATCTGATCCTAATGAGCTGCCAGCTGGGAGCACATTCCTGCACTGACTAGGACACCTCTACAGGAGTTACTAGCTCTCCTCCCCTCTCCTTCATCCCCCAAGAAGGAAAAAAACCCCATTTTGCAAAAATATTTTAACTCAACAGGGCCTTATTCTGAGAGACACTATTATCACAAGATTAAACAAAACTGATGGTTTCTATCCAAAATATGCAAGGCTATGACTTTCTGGAATTTATCTGGGGCATTTATCATTCATTTTGAAATTCAGTATATTGTATCTCATGTCATTTACCCAAGAAACACAGCCAGAGCATGAGATATGTGGGAATCACCTGTTTTGTTCAACTCAGTACAGTGTATTTCAGTTTGTAGAGTGGTTTTGTGAGCTTTCCAGTTTCTCCTCTGGAATCTTTATCACAGTATCATTGAGAACATATATTAATCCACAGTTAGTTTAAAAAAAAAAATAAAAATCCATGTTTGAGTCAAAATGGGGGGGGGGGAAGAGGGGGAAAAAAAGAAATCTGGAATCTTTCTATCCATGTTTTAAGGCATAACAAACTATAGCAATTTATTTCACCATATCCAGTTGTAATGCTAAACCACAGATAAACATTACTAATGTAGCAAGAATGTGTTTCTTCCTTCTGATGGAGGTCCAAGATTGCCCTCTTGAGTATGCCAAACAGCATGGGGTACTTCACTTACCATGTGATTGGCACACACTTTAGTTTTGAATCAGTTTGGAGATGAAATTTTTGGCTAAAGCTCTGGAAATTCTGACTCTAGAGTTGTCAGGCAGGCTGTCTTTACTTTGAGAAAATAGAATTCTTTTTAATAACACTATGTTACTTGGCTTTTTATCTGTTTTTACATTGTTTAATGATGTTTTGCATTTCTATGCATTGTGCAGCGCCCCAAGAACTTTAGTAGGGGGATCTTCATTTAAAAAAAAAATAGTAGTTTATTATTTCAGCGTGTGCTAATAAAATTGCATTTGGGGAAATATTCTAATACAATTGATTTTGATGCCACACAAAAAGGTCAGCCTTTGCACGCTGATACAAAAAGATGTATCTGTTCACTGAAAGGCAGAAATCATTTCTTGACATAGTTCATTTTCAAGGCATCTCTTACAATGCAGGTGCTCCTTAGGGTTGAGGGTTTATTTTTCCATTTATCTTGTAAACAAAGGAAATTATCCCATAAACTTATGCATAAATTTTTTTAGTCAACATTATTTTGCATAGCAACAAGCTTATTTCTAGTATATTTTCAGACACACAGTTTGGTTTATTATTTTATTGATATTAATAGAAATGATCCAGAAGAGGAAAACACATTATTTGGAGGTCTGACCCTCATGCCTTCCATATCCTAAAGCCAGTAAGTATTCTGGGAGCAGCATGCTTGGAAGATTCATTCTGAATTCACTTCCTTAGGGACATGTAACTATAAAATCGTGAGTTCTTTTCAGATCCAGTCCACCTCAAACTCAAACCTTCATGCAGCCTTCCAACTTTCAGCTTGAGCTTTTTTTTTCCCCTTACTGCCATGAATGACATGTACATACGTACACTCATGTTTTGTGAGTGCACACACGGGCATGCCAACATTGTTTACAACATCCTTCCTTCCTTTACTTATACAACTGCTGTGTATAACAAACATTACAATTCTTTTGCACATCAATCTAATGCACAGCTTCTTTTTTATCTAGTTTCTCTAACAGCTACTAACCCACCTCCATTGTCGTGAAACCTTTCAGAAAAGTTTCTCTCTTACCTGAACACGCAGTTTTGGCTCCCTGTTGTGGTAAACCCTCAAAGATCCAGTTCTGTCAACACTGATGCTGTCAGCTGCTTGAGGTACAGCCATACCACTTATTCTGAAGTTGAAGGAACTTTTCTATCCAGATGAGGGTCAACCAGTATCAAATAACACAAGTACAATCACTACCTCTGTTCTCCTAATAGAGGTATTTCTAAAAGTACGTACAAACATGTTTTTCCTTATAATGCTCCTCTTCATTAAAATTTTTATAGCAATGTAAGTCTTCAGAGTAACATATGATTGTTGATTTCAATGAACTCTGAACTGTACTACCACATTCACTTTATACAAATGTTTATTTCATCATCCATTTGAGCGACAAGTAGTTCAGATCTCGAGAAAAGGCTCTGATGACAAGTCAGTGCTACAAAGGTGTTTTTATAATTAAGATGACTTGGCTGGCTGCAGGTTTTTTTCATTCTCAGGAATGGGTTTGTCAGCGCAGTATTTTTCTGAGTGGTGTTTTGGATACCGCCTACAAAATGGGCTCTCAGTGTTTTGTTCATTCACAAATGACGTCTGATAAACAGTTAAGCCATCCTCTCTGCTAGGAACTGCTTCGTGAGCCCAGAGGAAGAAGTTCTGTGAGTTCTGTTGCCGTCTTTCTGGTTCCACCTTCCTCCGGCCCATACCCTAGGGGGAAAAAAAAAAAAAAAAAAAGAAAATTCATGTAAACATATGACTTACAATCACAGTTTCACAGATGAATCTTTTAACAGTCACTACCCCACTGGGAAGTTAACGAAGCTGTTACAACAGTGATTTCAAGAACTCATGGCTGATCTTTAGCAAGTTAAAAATAATGTCAGACTTGCCTGTATGAACATTTCTGGTTGCATATATAATGACAAATCTGTTGACCTTCCATCTCTTAGTACTAATAAACCACTTAAACTTGGCATTTCCGTAGTATACTATATACTCAAAGCTATTTAGCGATACTCAGCTAAATTAATCTTCAGAGTAACCCAAAGAAATAGGTTAATAATTTTATGTTTGGACTGAAATAAAAAACCTCAGACTATGAAATCTGAATCTTCAAAACTATCCCTTGTGTGTCCAAACACAGAGAGATGGAGCCTGATTTTCACACTCCATAGCTTGCAGGAAATTTATTTGAAATTATGGTTGATCAGTATCTCTAAAATTATGAGACACTGCACAAAGTGCACAGAAATGGAGGTTACTCAGTGAATAATGAATACCAAAAAAACTTAGGTCTAAGAGAACCCAAAGTCAGATGAAGTTTCAGTATCACAATTCACTTCCTCCTCCTCTACTCATTGTCTTGTGAACTGCACTATTTATTTTGCTGCCTAGAAAAATGTCAACAGTCTAAGAAAAGTGGAAAAACATGAAACTGTTGTACATACAGAAAAGCCCCAAACAATTTAAATTCTACTTAAAGTGGTGGCTTCTGCAACATACATTTAAACCGGTGTATTATAGATGTGGACTGGAAAATAATTCATTCTGGTGATATACTGTGGGTGTCCTATGGATTTTGGTTAAACTTATGATAAAGATAAGGCTGAATATGTGGAAATATGTGAAAATACGTGGGACTGTGAATTATGAGTGGCTGAGACCCCTACAAAAAATCAACACAAAGCCAATCACTTTTAGCAGACTAATTGGACAAAATCATGTTATGACATAAAAACCAGGACCATTAGAAAATGCGTGTCAGAGACCCAAATCATGGGAGTTTTGTTCCCCTTGAATTCTGCCACTCTCAATGACCATGTGTGCTGCTGTATACCTGTGCCAGCCCCAGAGGAGGCCCATCCCTCTACTAATAAAAAGCGTGGTTTTCTTTGCTGTTTACATTTTTCTCTCACAATTTTTAGCATCTATAATTTTTGCAGGGGAGAGAAAAGATACTGTGTTTAATCTCTGGCGGACTGAGATATGAGCTTGCTTGGTTTTTCTCAGTACTGGGTACTTACAAAATCAAAATACTCTCCTACATTCTGTAGACAGTGTCTGTTGTCATGAGAAGAAAATGGGAAATTGTTGCTCACTGCTCTCTGAAAAAAAAAGAAATTACAGCAAAAAATTATGAATTTCCACGTATCTTGTTCGGAGTCTACTAGTCTTAGATCTTATATTCTGACAGATGCTGAAATTACAGCTCCCTATGTTCTAACACAGAAGTCATATTCAGATGTTAAATCTTCAATGGCACATAATTTTATAGGAGCAATGTGAACTCTCTGTATTTTTTTTTTAAATTTTATTTTATTTTATTTTAGCAAATCATCAGGAGGACTTGTGTTCCCTTGATTTGCTGATTATATACATGATTAATATAAAAGTGTGAATTTTCAAATAAGAAATGATACATTCTGTCTGCGAGCAGCAAAATACTAGATATATGTCAGGATTGCCTTGTTTGATTCACTACTAAGCCTAAAGCTAATTAAAATGAACTACAAAAGGGACTTCAAAACTGAATTAATCTATGATTTATGTACTGAATGTCATGTATACTGCTTGTTGCAGGGGAAGTGGAAGAGATGTTAATTGCATAACTAATTTATAATCTCATTCTTTAACATAATGTTCATCCAGTCTCTAAAATGAAGCTAGAGTTTTAAAAGAAAAAAAAAAGGACAACTGCAAAAGAACTATTTTAAAAGTAATTTAACATATTTCATTTTTTTAAAGTTTATTCTATATCATTGCAATATTATAAAATAGCTAAAAATTGAAACACCGAAAACTCTCCTGGACTATTAGATTGCCTCTGTTCTTCCCCAAGCATTATTTTCCTGCTTCATGTTGGGAATTCTATGTTTTTTCTGTAAATGCTCCAGCAATTTTTACTTTTAACATTGTGGAATACATGTTTCATCTTCCAACTGTAACATTCACCTCTAAATAGAAGAGCAAGTTTTAATGTAACACAATTTTAAAAAAGTGTTTCAAGAGTAAGTGAATCTGAATCAGTTCTAAAGATTAATGTGACTGGAGGCCTAAGCCAGCAAGAAGAAGGGGTATTTGGTGTACTAGACAGATTTTCTACCTTTTTTAGGTACGTGCCACACATTCACTTCTTTTCTCATACAGATTCAACCAGAGTGTAGTTCAATGGACAAGGAAAATCAACGGATACATTCTCATATACTTGTGTTAAAAAACCAAGCACCTTATAAGTCAGTAAAATGTAAGACTTACTAAAATATCCTACTGCAATTACACGTCAATATTAACATTTCAGGGATAGTGTTTATTACTAGTGCCTAGATGCTGCAGGAAAATTGAAAACTGAGATGGTAAATACTGAGTATCATCTCTTGGAAGGATTCCTCATATTAACTAATAGTTAAAAAAAATCCATTACAGAATAACTATAGGACTATCATGAAGTAAGAAATAAGAGGTAATATAAGCTTAAACAGTCCTATACTTCTGAGAAAATGTATTAACCTCACAGCCAGTGAGTTCCCTCATACAAAGAGATTAGAGACATCCAGCTTCCAACACTCTATCAGCAGATTGTTCCTATGACATAACATTTTAGCCTTTAATGCGTCTTCGTACCCTCACAGCTGATCTCATTTTATTTCTTCATTTATGACAGATAGGAATTCCACTAATTCTTTTCAACAGTGAAGAGCTGATAAATACAAGGCATAAAACATCAGGTGACCAGTCACACTAGTGTTGATAAACAGTCCATCTAACCTGGTTCTCCTTTTCAGGTTCCCTCACACAAAGAGATTAGAGACATCCAGCTTCACATGCAGTGAGCTTCAAACACTCTATCAGCAGACTGTTCCTATGACATAACGTTTTAGCCTTTAATGCGTCTTCGTACCCTCACAGCTGATCTCATTTTATTTCTTCATTTATGACAGATAGGAATTCCACTAATTCTTTTCAACAGTGAAGAGCTGATAAATACAAGGCATAAAACATCAGGTGACCAGTCACACTAGTGTTGATAAACAGTCCATCTAACCTGGTTCTCCTTTTCAGACCGTGGCCAAGGCCAGATACTCCACAGAAAGGTATACATAATATCAATATAATGTATACTCATGTTACAGTATAACCTTCTCCCTTTCTTTTCACTAGCCCCAAGCTTCCCTTTTAAATATTCCTTCCCAGCCCATTTCATTACAGCGAAATCTGTTAAATGAACTCAATATAATTGCTATGTTTATAGAAAATGAAAATAGAAAATATTCTGTGCACAAAGTGAGTGGGTGGGTGGGTGAAGCAAAGCTCAGTGTGATGATAAAGTAAGGACATAAAAACGTGCTTATGAAATTGTAACATTTTAAATACTCATGATTTTAAAATATTGTATTTTGTTCCCAAAACTGTCCCAGATCTCATTTTTAAACAAGCTTTAAAAATGTTTCAAATGGGAAACTTTCAACATTTTAATGATTTAAAAAAGTAATCCTTTGCCAGAATATACAGAATTTCTGACATTCAATTCAAACCAGATAATCAAATTTCAATTAAACTCTCATATAGGGCTTCACACACAGGTTTTGGATTGAGATCAATCTTAATACATTCTGGCACATAAACATGTCTCAAACAGCTATAGTAGCTAATAAAAGGAAAAAGTAATTGATGCCGGAAATCAGCAGTAACTACAGCAGGACTTCGAGTATCCAAAATTATAACTAACAGCAAAATATGTTTGTTCCTTAGCATAGCTAGCAATCATTTTACTCCCTGAGGCACAAAGTCTGCCACTCCACTACGACTGCTTTGCTAACTACTGTAAGCGCTAGTCTTACTTATAACTTAGCAAGTGATATCTTGCAAAAAGGAGCTCTGTAAATTGACCGTATTGCCACAGTAACTCACCTGCTCTCGAGCTCTGTATGCTAGCGGCAATCTATCCTCGATATATCGAGCTGCTCCTGAGTTCTGGACCTGTTTTAGTGCAGAGCTTGTAGTTGACTCAGGTTGACTCTGGCACATTCCAACGTGAGCAAACTAGAAAATAAAATTGGGATCCATTTAAAAAAAAAAAGAAAAAAGCCAACAACAACAACAACAAAAACCCCCAAACGAATAAATCTGATCAGAAATGTGGGCAAAATTTTATTTTCCCATTTATTTTTTATTATTTGGATTGTAGCAGCACCTAGTGGCCTCTGGAAAAATCAAGAGCCTCCCACACACAACACAACCCCTACCATAAAGACCTTATGACATAGATTAGTAACCAGACAAGAATATGATTTCTCCAGAACTTTCCAAAACTGTTTATATAGCGATAATCCATCTAGCAAAACCACTTATGCTATAACATCTTTTTCTTCCCCATGCTGCTCCCACTGCTGTATGACCTTAGGTTTGAGAGCGTGAAACTTTTGGAGAGCAGCTCAGAAAAACACTAGCCCCACGGGTTCAGAGACTGAAGAACCGCCTGTGCCAGGCATGTGTCCTAGAGCCCTGGTACGCCCAGACGTCCCAGCCAGGGCCCCCGATGGAGGGCGAGAACTGAGGCAAACGTCAGCTGGCATTTTCCAGAAGACAAAGAAAATCAGCTAGGGCTAAATATAAAATAAGAGACCTCCAGCACTGTTGGAACTGGGAAAAAAAATCCTGCTTTAACATACTTGCTCTCACTACCTAGGGCACTTTTTCCTCTTCAACATCAGGAATAGGAAACATCGTTTCCGGCTAAAGGACCCAGTCACCCTTAGCACGGCGTTTTTTCGGGAGTTTAAGGATAAAAAAAAGCCCCGCGGGGGGCGCAAGGGCTTACCCAGGCGCCGGCGGGCTGCCCGCCGGAGTAGGACCCCCTGCCCTTGGGCATGGCTCCGCGCCG